TGGAAATATTCCAGAAAGACATGGAAGAATCTGACGAATAATGGACTGTTATTGGAGGATGGATTCATGAATTTTGTTTTTTTTATTCTGCGGTTTTTTTTATATAACAAGTTTTAAGGAAAGCTTATGTTAAACATTTGTTGCTGTTGGTATGTGTGTTTAAGGTGATGGGTCTGCTGCTTTCCTAAAATGAATAATTTTGCTTCTACTCCCTTCTGTAGATATTAATGGGTCCCGTGTGAAAAGTATGAAAAGTATGCAACATTACACTTTCTGCATTCTTTGCAAGACATGCAGACTGCTCATGATTTTTGGGAAAACATCGAATGTGTCATGAAGCATCTGAATTGTTTGTTTTAAAGACATGGTGACTAGTTTGCACATAGAGTTGGCTGCATTCAATGATGTCTTGCCCTGCAGTATTGCCAGGCTATGGGCGGGATGCAGCATAGCCCCTAAGTAGAGGTTTTTCTCCACAATGTGTACCCATATCCACTTTAAATCTTCTAAAGTCATCATGAAAAGCAGGCACCTAGAGGTAGTTGCTTCAACATTAAAATACTGTTTTTCAGCCCCCGGAGCATATTTTGACATTAATTTAAGAGCCATCGCATTAAAATGATCAAAGTGGATTGCTTAAGATTGGACATTGGGCTGCACACCTTCTAGTAAAGTTTGGGTATTTGACCACGGATAACTTTAAAGGCATATGTTCTCTAATAAAATAGTGTTTTTTCTGCCTTTTTTTTTAACTTATTAATACTGCAACAACTCTGTAATCAATTTGTCAAATAAACTGTATTTATGTTTCTATTTTGCTTTTCTGCATAGAAATCTATGCTTTAAATAGGTTATTAATATACTTTAGTCTGTTACAAGGTAGCTGTGCACAGACAGGTTTTTTTTTTGGCTGATGTAAATGATATAATATCTGTTGCATATGTGATGGGAATGATCTTGGCATATGTGATGGGAATGATCATTGTTGGTAATGAGCATTTCTGCTCATTTTAGCCATACAAGGCCAAACACGTAGGGGTTGATGTATAGAATTTTGCAGAGCTGTCTGTCCTGCAAAACTGCAGGTACATTCTTTTTTATGTGAATGGAGGTAAAAATAAATGTTGTTAGTGTATTTACGTTGTAGGTCAAATGTAATATCATGCAAAATATCACATTATGGCCACTAGATGGTGCTGAGGAGCATAGAAAATAGTTATTCCCTACGCTCTTCATCTAGTGCAGTGGGTCGCAACCCACAGTTAAGGGGGCCTCCTCCTAGTCCAGCAGTGTCAGTTCTCCTAGATGGCGCTGCAGCAGAGGATCAGAGAGAGGGGAGCGGGCAGGAGTGAGGGGACGTGAGTGCTTGATCACCAAAGGGCCGCGCTGGGTGCCACCAGAGAGTCCCACTTACCACCTGAGAGCCTGCATAGCCTCTTGAGAGCCCACACAGATACTAGTTTTGGTTCATCCCTAAATTTTACAGTTGGGGGACACCACAACTTGGCAAAAGTTACCAAGGGGTCCCGACCCTAGAAAGGTTGAGAACCGCTGATCTAGTGGCTATAATGCCGTATTTTCCTGACATTCAACCTTTATAAAAAAAACAAAATGCTTCTTTTTTTTTTTTTTACACTTTCGCCTCTGGCACACAAAGAATGTACATGCGAATTTCCAGGCAAATAGCTCTGCAAATTGTTCATAAGTACAACACCACGTGCTATCCTGGATCTGAGAAAAGTTCCTTTAGGGTTACACAAGCCCCAGACAGCCAACACAGCTAAACAAACATCAAATGGTTTTTAACTTATTTAAACACTTCATTGAGATATTATGTTGGCTCATCACATAACCATACACAATTTTCATGCTACGTGCCCCGTATTTAACAGAATAACAGGTCTGCGACAGCTGTATATGGGACATTTAAAATATTGCAGGAATATTCATTAGGGCTGAACATATAATGTTAGAAATCGGGAGAAGCGCAATCTGATGCCACCAAGTTATTATTAGGGGCCAAGTAGTTGTGTCTGTCATATTTTTTAAGAACTCTCCTTTGAATTATCCAGCCCTAACTTAGTCCAATGTAAAGCTGGCCACACACCTAGAGATTATCTGCAGAGTTTCTATGGCCAGATGGAAAAGGTACAACAGATTCCTCCATCTATGCTAAACTGTGTGGATGGAGGAATTTCCCACTTGGCCAAGCTTGCACTACACATACCTGAAAAATCTGATGGGATGCAGGCATTGTCCAGGTGTTTTGAGAGCCACCGGCCCCCTCCCCCCCTTCCTGATGCTGCTTTAAGGACTTGCCTTAAAGTATGGCCAGTTTAGGACAATTAACCTGTAGGAATTTTCTGGATTTTGGCAATAATGTCTCCTACAATGTGATCCAATATTTTTCTAAGTCTTGATAATATACAATCTCATTAAAATGAGGATAGGCTACAGCACTATGATGCAGGTAACTAGCGGCCATGTAAGGGTTTTTTTCTTTTACCTCTTAGAAGGTATATGGGAGACCCATACATGTGGGAAATGGAAATGCTAGTGAATTTCATAAAATTTATGAATTACCTGCCAACTATGAAATATTTCTGGAACTTTATGAGATTGCATTGCTTTCTATGAGGTCGGCTGAAATTGCTTTTGGACCATATTGTACTTCCAACTGTATTCTTTTAAGATGAGCAGATCAATAGTGTGCACACATACATGTGTGTGTGTGCATGTGTGTATGTGTATATATATATATATATATATACATACAATTACACATGCACACATACAGTAGGGCAGGGCAAAACACATAACAGAATTGAGTACCATCTTTGAAACCC